GTGTAGTGTGAAGTGGGCTTCCCCAGTGGCTCAGCAGTGAAGAATCCGCCTGCAATGCAAGAAACTTGGGTTTGATGCCTGGGTGAGGAATATCCTCCCTGGAGGAGGACCCCGCAACCCACAACAGTATTCTTGCCTGGAGAAACCCATGGACAGAGGAGCCTGGCAGGCTACAGTCCATAGGGTCGCAAAGAGTCAGACACCACAGAAGTGACTGAGGTCACGCATAATATAAAGTTTATTGTAAGTGCTAAGGTAATAATCATGTATTTTCCTATGCATATATGATTTCATGGCAAGTATAATCAGTGTATGTCCTTTTCTATTTCCTTTCAGTATTTCAGTCTTTGAAAAATAGGTCATACCGTGTGAATCAGCCTATAAAGTTATTATAAGAATTGCCCATCTTGTAGATTTCTTCTTCCTACTGTTTTCTGGAAAAGCAAAAAATTTTAAAAATGATTAGGAAACTTAGAAAAGATTAAGTAAGTTTTAAAAAGCTTGATTGGAGATTTTATTTCTCTCATCAAATAAAGCATAGTCTTCACAGTTCCTTTGGTAAGCTCTTCAAATTGTTTCACTTCAGTTAAGAGATTTCTGCTGTTTGTCCCTAGAACATAAGGCTTCAGAGAGATTTAGAAAGTAGATGATAGCTTTTTATTTGCAGTAATCATAGAAATTTAGCTAGCACAGACCAATAGGCCTTAAAAAGTGTGAATTTTTCTGTATGTAAAGTATATCTCAATAAATCTGACTAGAAGTTACAGAACTGTGTTTTGAAAACTTATTTTTTGTTGAGAGAAGTATAAAAGTACCCACTGTAAGGAAAGTAAACATTTGAAAACCCAAACTGGAAAATATATAAATTGGAAGAGGAATAAATTTGGCTTTATAGAAGAATTCATAATAGAATTATATTTTGTGACCCACAAATATATTTTACAATGATTCAGTTATAAAATCCTACTTATAAAATTTCAGAAACAAATCACGGGTATGACATATAACTGTTTATATATGGGTTGTGAAATATTCAATCATTCATAGTGACAATTCTGTATGGATTTAAATGTAAATGTTTGTACAATAAATACTTAAAATGTGCACAATACTGTTATTCTAAGAGGAGATATGAAGCTGTATAAGGTGTAGATTTTAATCTCCCTAGCTCACATTCTGGGCTTCCCTGGTAGCTCGGCTGGTAAAGAATCTGCCTGCAATGTGGGAGACCTCGGTTTGGTCCCTGGAGAAGGGAATGGCTACCCACTCCAGTATTCTGGCCTGGAGAGTTCCGTGGACTACAGTCCATGGGGTCGCAAAGAGTCAGACATGACTGAGTAACTTTTACTTTCACTTGGGCTTCCCTAGTGGTTCAGCTGGTAAAGAATCTGCCTGCAGTGCAGCAGACCCAGTTCGATCCCCCAGTCAGGAAGATCTCCTGGAGAAGGAAATGGTAACTCACTCCAGTATTCTTGCCTGGAGAATTCCATGGACAAAGGAGCGGGACAGGCTGCAGCCCGTGGAATCACAAGGAGTCAGACACAACTGTGCAACTAACTTTCACTTTTTTTTCAGCTCACATACTGGGTGAGCATAGAACTGTACATACACAAGGAAGTCTAATATAAAGCAGCCTGAGATACAGGGCTATGAGAGAAGTCTAGAGAAAAGAGTCCCAAATTGAAGTTCCTAAGCATGTGTGTATGTGTTGCTCACATGACTTAGTTGCTCAGTAATGTCCAGCTCTTTGCGATGGACTATAGCCCACCAGGCTCCTCTATCCCTGGAATTCTCTAGGCAGGAATAGAGATCGATAGTGGAGAGATCCATCCCAGGTTTCCTGCACTGCAGGCGGATTCTTCACTGTCTGACCCACCAGTGAAGCCCAAAGTTCCTAAGGATTATTCTAAAACTTATGTTTGTTCAACTTTAATAAGCGCAAAATAATTTTTTTAAGTGCAGGAAAATAATAGGAATGCTCATCACATACATAAAAGAACAAAGAAAGTTGAAGATAGAACAGAAAATAGGTATGCCTATGATTGCTAAAGCAGGAGGAAAAAAAAGGGAAAAATAAAGGTAGCTTTTGAGGCCTTGAGGATAATAAAGACAATTTGAAATAGTTGTTGACTTTATTAATTAGCCCTCAATGTCTCCTCCTTCCTTAGAATAAAGTCTACATCTCTCAGTCTCCCTTGTAGGCTAGTTCTTGCCACTAGGACATAAGCTTTCAAGAACCTTAAGAGACTGCTGTGTTCTCTTTTTGACAGTCTTCCCCTCTTATTTCATTCTCCCACATGAAACAAGGACCCAGAGACCACTATCTCAATTCATGAAGACAATGGCCACTCACTGAGGATGACAAAACATAGAAATGGAAGATGCAAGTGGGCTTCTTAGAGCAGAACTATCATACCAAACCTTCCTATTCTTTATCTGGATTTTGTGTGAAACAAAGTTTTATTTAAGCTTCTTTCAGCTGTGATTTTTTTTTAATTATTCTCAACCAAACCTGATCCTAAATAATATTTTTTGTGGTCAACATTATAGTATCCTTACTAAGAATAAAATAAGGAATCCAATTTATTATTTATGTGTTTTTCACACTATGTGTCAGGTACTTTGAGTTACATTTTCTCATCTGCCTCTCTCAATTTAAGGTGCTTAGTTGCTCAGTCGTGTCTGACTCTTTGCGACCCCATGGACTGTAGCCCTCCAGACTCTTCTGTCCATGGGGATTCTCCAGGTATTCTTTAACTATTCTCAGAGGATAATATTCCTTAGAAATATTATCATCCTCATTTTACAGGTGAGGAAACTAAAATGCAGATAGTTTCTTTTTTTAATTACAGAAGGTCATACCCATAGAAAGTGATAAAGCTGGTATGAGATTCTGTCAGTCTGACTCCAAAGTTCATGCATATTCTTAACCACTGTGCTATAAGCAACAAATTGGATGGCATAAATTTGTCATGCATCTGATGAATAGATTCTGTAGTTTCTGGAGAGTTCCTTACCTCTGCCCAAACCTTCCTAAACAGTCCCTTCATTAAATGTTCTTCAATTAACTGCTAGACTCAGCCATATTTTTCCCACACTAATATATCGGTGTTTTAGGTGTTTTTCTTTTTCTTTTTTTTTTATTAGTTGGAGGCTAATTACATTACAAAGGTGTTTCTCTTTAGCTTTTGCATCCTCCAGAAGCTAGAATGGTGATTTTTTTTCTGTGATACTTTTTCCTAATCATGAAGTGTATATTTCACTTTGCCTTTTTTTTTTAATCACCCAGCCTTCTGTTGCTTCCCTATTTAGAGCAAAAAGAGAGACAAACTGACAAAGATCTTCTTCCAAGGTTCTTAGTGTAAAGCTCTTTGATTAGGATATCTACTGTCAAAATTAATGTTCCCTTAATTTTTAAAGACAAATGCAACATTTTTCCTCACATACAAACCAGGTAGCTATGTATGACTAGAAATGTCTGACCAAATTTCTCTGAGAAGCCTAGAAATAAAGCAGTAGACCTATAGTGTTTTTTTTGCCTGTTCCCCATCCCTTCCTTTTGTGAAAACTGCTACCTTTGAACAAAACTGAGTGCAGAAAGTGAAAAATGGGTCAGGCTGTGGGGAAAGATTAGGCATATGTAAACAAGAAACAAATGGAGTTTTGCAAGGAAATTTTACTTCTTTAAACTGTTCTAAAGATTGCATATAGTTGGACCACACTGGAGACAGAAGAACCAACTTTGGGTGAAGAACTTTGAAAAGGACAGTAGAAGATTCCACTGTAGTTTAACTGTGGTCATAAAAAGGATAGACAGTAAGATACTAAATCAATACTTCAAGTTGTGTTCTCCTACAAAGACCGTAAGGTATGAAAATTACACAACTAAAAATGATTAAGAAAGTGAACAGGGAAAGAGGCAGCAACAGTATCCCAGTATCGATAGTAAGTGAATAAGGAGTTAGGACTTAGCCAGAGATTGCAACTTGGTATTGCAAAGGAGTAACCAAGAGAGGTCTAAATGAAACAGAAGATGTCTCCAGTAGTCAGCAGAAGACATGCCAAAAATAGAACTGATCCAAAAAGTTCAAAAAGAAAACAATGAAAAATTAATTACCGCCTTGATCTTGACCATTCACATCCAATTAAGTTCATCTTGCAGCCTGCGAGACCTTGATAATGCACTTTACACGTTTGCTTCTGCTCTGCAAATTAAATTTCCTTACAAAATCACTCAAAGAACTTCAGATTCTTTCTGTGGAAAAACTCTAATGTAATGAATAATTTCTGTTTATGATTGGTTTTAATTCTTCTTGGTTCTTTTTGCGCTGCAAAGGACTGGTGAGTTTTTTGTTTTTGCTTTAGAGATGTATTGTGCTTGTGAAGTTGCTCAGTCGTGTCCAACTCTTTGTGACCCCATGGACTGCAACCTACCAGGCTCCTCTGTCCATGGAATTCTCAAGGCAAGAATACTGGAGTGGGTTGCTGTTTCCTTCTCCAGGGGACCTTCCCAACCCAGGGATTGAACCTGGGTCACCCGCATTGCAGGCAGACGCTTTACTGTCTGAGCTACGAGGGAAGCTTGGACATACTTAGATAGTAGATGACGCACCAGTGTATACACACATTTATTGGTCGATCTTTGGGGTTTGGTCTTAAGTATTTTAAAATATTAGAATGCTACATGTAAAATTGGCAAAAAACACAATGGTAAAACAAAGCTTGAGTTAAACCATAGGTTAAGCCTACAATGATACAACCCTGTGGATGAACTAAAAACCACTGAACTGTACACTTTAAACAGGTGAACTGTATGCTATGTCAATCCTATTTGAATAGTTATTTTAAAAATCAATTTTGTAGTTCGATCGGTAACGGGAGCGGAGAGCGGACCCCAGAGAGCCCTGAGCAGCCCCACCGCCGCCGCCGGCCTAGTTACCATCACACCCCGGGAGGAGCCGCAGCCGCCGCAGCCGGCCCCAGTCACCATCACCGCAACTATGAGCAGCGAGGCCGAGACCCAGCAGCCGCCCGCTGCCCCCCACCCCCCCCCCCCGCCGCCCCCGCCCTCAGCGCTGCCGACACCAAGCCCGGCACGACGGGCAGCGGCGCAGGGAGCGGTGGCCCGGGCGGTGTCACATCGGCGGCGCCTGCCGGCGGGGACAAGGTCATCGCAACGAAGGTTTTGGGAACAGTAAAATGGTTCAATGTAAGGAACGGATATGGTTTCATCAACAGGAATGACACCAAGGAAGATGTATTTGTACACCAGACTGCCATAAAGAAGAATAACCCCAGGAAGTACCTTCGCAGTGTAGGAGATGGAGAGACTGTGGAGTTTGATGTTGTTGAAGGAGAAAAGGGTGCGGAGGCAGCAAATGTTACAGGCCCTGGTGGAGTTCCAGTGCAAGGCAGTAAATACGCAGCAGACCGTAACCATTATAGGCGCTATCCACGTCGCAGGGGTCCTCCACGCAATTACCAGCAGAATTACCAGAATAGTGAGAGTGGGGAAAAGAATGAGGGATCGGAGAGCGCTCCCGACGGCCAGGCCCAACAGCGCCGGCCCTGCCGCAGGCGGAGGTTCCCACCTTACTACATGCGGAGACCCTATGGGCGTCGACCACAGTACTCCAACCCTCCTGTGCAGGGAGAAGTGATGGAGGGTGCTGACAACCAGGGTGCAGGAGAACAAGGTAGACCAGTGAGACAGAATATGTATCGGGGTTATAGACCAAGATTCCGCAGGGGCCCTCCTCGCCAAAGACAGCCCAGAGAGGACGGCGATGAGGAAGACGAGGAAAATCAAGGAGGTGAGACCCAAGGTCAGCAACCGCCTCAACGTCGGCACCGCCGCAACTTCAATTACCGACGCAGACGCCCAGAAAACCCTAAACCACAAGATGGCAAAGAGACAAAAGCAGCCGATCCACCAGCTGAGAATTCGTCCGCTCCCGAGGCTGAGCAGGGCGGGGCTGAGTAAACGCCGGCTTACCATCTCTACCATCATCCGGTTTAGTCATCCAACAAGAAGAAATGAATATGAAATTCCAGCAATAAGAAATGAACAAAAGATCGGAGCTGAAGACCTTAAGTGCTTGCTTTTTGCCTGTTGACCAGATAACTAGAACTATCTGCATTATCTATGCAGCATGGGGTTTTTATTATTTTTACCTAAAGACGTCTCTTTTTGGTAATGACAAACGTGTTTTTTAAAAAAAAGCCTGTTTTTTCTCAATACACCTTTAAAGGTTTTTAAATTGTTTCATATCTGGTCAAGTTGAGATTTTTAAGAACCTCATTTTTAATTTGTAATAAAAGTTTACAGCTTGATTTTTTTCAAAAAAAAAAAAAGTCAACAAACTGCAAGCACCTGTTAATAAAGGTCTTAAATAATAAAAATATAAATAAATAAATAAAAATAAAACTCAATTTTGTGTTACAAAGATGAAAAATAAACTACTAAAAAACAAAACAATAACAAAAACCTAGCATTACTGTAAACAGCATGCCCAGCAAATCAAGAACAAAGATTATCAATTTATTCAACAAAAAATTTTATTGATATGGAATAGTGAAAATATGTTTAATCAGATCTTGCTCATTTTCTAATAAAAGGTCTCATATCAAGGAACTATGCTTATTCTCATACAGAAATTTACACACACATGTAAATTAAACTGAAAAGATTCTCTCAAGAGCTCATATCACAGATTTTATGAGCCATGAGGAAGAGAAGCATAAAATTAAATGTAAAACAGATTTCATTATAAAATCTCTTTTAGAGTGAATATATAATCTCTCAGATGAGTTAGCAAACTAATATCAACAATTGAAGAAAGAGTTTTCCACACAATAATAGGGTTCTGAAGACACTTTCAATTACCCATATGTAATCAGGAACTAACTGTGATATCTTAATATACTAATGATAAAACAAAATCTTCTCTGAAACAAAAGAAAGATTTCTATTAACCTATCTATAGTCACAAAAAACAGAAAACTTTTAAAATAAAAAAAACTTTAAAAAATTATTTATAAAGCACTTCAGACTTATTTTGTTAGTTCTAACTGGTATTTTTCCTTCGCATTAAAATATTTTTAAGTGAAAGCTGAATAACAGGATAAATACAAATCTTCAATGAACATCCACATGATTTGAGGAAACCAAAAGATGACAAAATATCTTTTAAGCAGAGCTTCTTAAAAGTAGGGAGATTATATGTAAGAGGAACTTTCTAGACTAAATTTGCACATTAAGAAAGAGAAAAGAATTCTAAGGCCACCAGAGAAAAAAGAAGAAAGAGAAAACATGCAGAAAGTGTCCAAGTCAACAAAATTTAAATGAAAAGACCACAGTAAGATGAAAAATAACCCTAATTTCCTAAAACTAGTTTTTCATAGCACTTCTCAATTATAAAAAGAAACACACATTTTAAAGCGAAACACAGCTAATTATTAAAAACAATACAAGCTCTATGAAGACATTTTCTAACTTCAAGACAAAGTTAGGGGGAGGTGGGAAGGGGGACCGGGATGGGGAATACATGTAAATCCATGGCTAATTCATTTCAATGTATGACAAAAACCACTGCAATGATGTAAAGTAATTAGCTTCCAACTAATAAAAATAAATGGAAAGAAAAAAAAAAGACAAAGTTAAACCTATGACTATAACAAAAAACTCCCTAACTAGTCATGCAAATACTAATATTTGAAAATATATACATATCTATTACCTTACTCTTTGCTGCAACTTGAAAAGGAATAAGTATACGTAGGAAATTAAGATCCTATTTTTCTATAGTAAAATGGCAATGTAGCTCAATCATTTTTTTCACCAATTTCTGAGATAAGAATATTATCTCTAAAAACCTTTAATGTATATAGTTTATATATTCAAAATATAAAGATTTAGATAAATAAGAGCTACTTCAAGTACTGACCATTACTACATATGGCTAAAATCAAGTAATATAAAAATTTAAATCACTTACATTGTTGTTGCAAGTTTCTACAGCAGGGAATTTTCTGACTATGAATTTCACAGCAGATTCCAGGTTTTTGTCAATAAGGTAGGATGGTTTTTGCCTTGGGGTCTCCACAAGCCTATAAAACAACAGTAATAAAAAAAAGTGAAATGCATCCTTTTCTAAAACCAAGAAATAATAGCAAATCTGTAATCACAAATTAGAGAGAGACTTGTTTTTGGTGAGCAGGTGATAAATGAATAGGCAAAGTGCAGGGATTGTCACAGCTGAAATATGCAATGGGAGACAGTTCAGAGATGTTCTTCTACTGAAAAAAAATGCATGGAAAGTTTCAAAGCAGTTAGCGCAGAACAGCAGTGAAGGAAAAAGCTCAAACCTAAAAAAAAAAAAGAAAAGAAAAAGAAAAAAAATTCTTGGTTTGAGGTAGGATTGTATTCATCTGAAGCTAATAAAGTATTACAAAATGAAATATTCAGTAAGAGTACTGGAAATGTTTCTATGTGTTATATAATAAAAGCTTATGTTTAAATGTCTTTTCCAAAATGTTCTCCTCATTCAATCTATACATTTTAAATACAAGGGCCCTAGTTCAAAAGAACTGGAAGGTGCTAAAACTGGCCTTGGAGTACTAACTTGTGTTGCCGAAAATCTGAGTTACAACATTGTTTTCCATCATACCAGCAGCACTTCAAACAATGAAATCTACATCTACTCTATATCTCATAAGCACAGACCAAATGGAAATGTTTACATTTTGACCACATCAGCAGTACAGCAATCTCTGTATTAAACTGTAAAGCACTGTACAAATGTAAGGTATTATTATTAGAAAGAACTTTTTATCTGAACTATTAGCAATACAGAATAATCTTCAATACTGTTCATTCTGTGACATGATTAACTGCTTCCTAGTGAATTACTAAAATGGTAACATTTCTACTTAACTTCTTTTCATTGTATTTTAAAGAGGGTATGTCCTTTGAAAAATTATCTATTATGTATGAGGAAATACAATACTGTAATTTAATGTTTTTTCACTGTTTACGATAGCTATGTTGTGGATTGCAGAAAGAGAAATTATGAAACATGAAAACTGATCTGAAAGCGGGCAAGCGGGCAGAGGGAAGGTGAAAAGCTTTGCAAACCTTCCAAACTTGTCCTTGCTGGGGAAGCATTGTAATAAAAAGAGAGAAAATTACTTGTAAGCAATGACTGTCAAACTATGACAGACGTTTCAGTAGAGAACTTATGCACTGCAGACTATGAATAACAAGATGAAAACCATATGGTGCTACAATTTTAAAGGTATTCTAAGTAGCAAGTTTTAGTATACAATAAATTTACAGAGTTTATATTATTCATATATATTTAAATACTACTGTGAGGTGTACAACCATGTCAGTTTCTTGGTGCTCTTTCTAAGTAACTTAAAAATAATACTAGAAGGAAAAATAAAGACTACATGCAACTATAAAAACAGGAGCAAAACCATCAGTGAAATTTTATATACCTTAAAAAGAAACGGTAGCCAAGAATAAAAGTAACTCGTCATTGGATGACTTTTGCACTTTACCTCAAATTGCAACTGTTTTTCAAATATCAACTCACTCCTTACCAAGCCAAAGTATAAAAATCAATACAAAAATTCCTATATTTTCCAAAAGGAAATAAGAATGCAGTAAGAATTATCTTAATTCTCAAACATAATTAGATAAAACAGAATTAACTCTAAGAAATTTAGAACCTCATAATCTTTAACCAGACTGACACAGAGCTATTGTATAAATTCCATTTCACTATCATAAATACTAACATATCTGACTTTTCCTCAGAGGAGACTGCCACTAGCTTAAAATACTATTTCTCATAAATTAATCTTCCAATTAATCCACTTCCCCAAAAATATTATATACAGGAATAACTGAAAGACACATAACTAAGAATTTGTACCAATGGAAATAGCTACATATTAGGAATTCCTTGTATCAATGATAAAATGAAAACCAAGTTTCAAGAACATGCCTGAGGTAGTACAGAATACTAAAGTGATTCCAAATTCTTTTTAAATATTATGTATCATCTTTCATACTGTAATTATTTTAAAATCCAGTTATCCGTTCTAACAATATAAGTGAAAAAACTAATAAAATAGACCACCATGCCCGTTCCCAGTGATCACAAATTTTACTATGTAAGAATTTAATCCAGTAACTAAAGATATATCTGTATATAAACAGCTCTTCCTTACTGCACAGAAAACAAAAAGAATGGAATTTCATTTCAGGGGAAAAGCAAGTGGTCATATAGTATTTCCTTGGAATTAATTTACCTTTTTCCACACTCCTCAGTGAACCACATTTAAACAAACTACACTGGGAGACAGTATGCCATAAAGATTAAGAATACAGACCCTGACTGACTAAATGTCAGTCTTCATCACGTAACTATCCATGGCATGATCCATACTTGAATATATTACAACACATCTCCTAATCTCGATTTTTTCATGTGTAAATGGGGAAATTAGTATTGACCTAATAGCTATAATTATAATTACCTAAGTAAAAGCTTCATGTGAGTAGCAACCACTGAACAGTCTTTACCGTGTAAACAGAAATCATGACTAACACTCTTTCCTCCGGTCATTCATTCTTTATTCACCCCGAGTCTAAACATAACCAAGCTCGCTTCGCTCACAGAAAACGAGCAGCCCAGCAGCGGAGAGCATGAGCTGTGAGACGAGCTGTCCATGTTCAGACCCCGGCTCCTGACGGCAACCGCACACAAGCGGTCTCTGCGCCTCCGCTTCCTCAGCTGCTAAACAGACCACAACTGCAATCTACCCTCAGAAGTTTCTGCCCATTAGATTAGTGTGTGTGTGCTTGTGGGTGTGTGTATGCACATGAGCAGAATAAGAGTGTCTGGCATACTACCTTCACTCAAACATGCCGATAAAAAACACAAGACTCACAGACACTATACAAGAGTACTA